CATTGTCTTATTTCAAGTGTATATTATCTAATTATCTTATTTTAAGAGTATAAATACTCATTCCATTGTCAAACTATCTGATTTAGCTACTCAAATTAAGGATAAATATGCTTAATTTAGGAAACTTTTACTTATTTCTAGATTGTTTTTCCAGTGAACATGAGCTGGGAAACAAATCAAGGCATGTTGTGGACCAATCAGAAGCTGCGCTCAGACCCATATTTCTTCTTATAAGCTTCTCCATCAGAATCTCCCCTGTAGCTTTGGTGATAAAGTGCAACGAGCGGGACAGTCCATTAAGCACTCTGACACTTGCAGGTGTGCGTCTCCAGCTTGTGCGCCGCCAGCCTAAGTAATCACCACTTTCATGCTAACAAATAATCGTCCCAGGCTTCATCTCGGTCTGCGGACACACTAACATCCAGACATGCCTCCTTTAAGCACCAATTACAGGTGGTGATACTCAATTACCCTGTCTGTGATATGCTGCTGAGCATCACGGAGAGGCAGGGCGGCCAATGAGCTGAGGGCTTACGGTAAGACAGGAAATAAAAGGAGATTAGGGAACACATTGATCTTGAGCTGTGATTTACAGCCTGACTCACTGTTGTACTTGTGCTGCTGGCAGAGGACCGATCCGATTCCTCTCAAGCTGGCACTCGCAGCCGTTCCTCTGAGTAAATAAAGTCATTTCACCCACACTCTACGGGCTGCTGTAATCTAAATGAACTGTAGCAATTAGAACATTGAGATACAAACCAGCATTTCATTTGGTTGTTTTTTTATTTTACTATCCCAACATTAATTTCTATTGTTCTACATTTACAATGATTTCAATTCAGTACATAAATATTTTTGGATCCCAAAGAGAAAGTAAAAGTTGTAACTTTGCTTTTTGTTTTTCTAACTGGTTTTTCAATTCAATTCATTATTACTTTATTAATCCCAATGGTAAATAGGCAGGAAGGATCATCTGTAGAGGTCTGTCTTGTACCTGATATGGAGACGCCTCTGACTAAAGACACTCACTGCAAAAGATAGAAATCTAAATAACTTATTTTTTCTGAAAATAAGTGCATTTTTTCTTGGATTGAGGAGGTAAGTGAGACACTTTTTCAACGGAACAAGAGAATTTACATTTAAAATAAGAATAAAAAACATTGCATTGTCTTATTTCCAGTGCATATTATCTAATTATATTATTTGAGCAGAAATGCTAATTGCACTGGAAAAAATCTAAATCTACATAAGTATTTTTTTCTTAAAATGAGTGAATTTTTCTTGGATTGAGGAGGCAAAAGAGACATTTTGCCAATGGAACAAGACAATTTACACTTAAAATAAGAAAACATAATTTCATTGTCTTATTTCAAGTGCATATTATCTAATTATCTTATTTTATGAGGAAAAATACTCATTTCATTGGCAAACAATCTAATATACCTACTCAAATTAAGGGTAAATACAGTTAATTTAATACATTTTTACCTATTTCTAGATCTTTTTTCCAGTGTGGGAGATCATCTTATTTACCTCCTCAAATTAAGGGTAAATACACTTAATTAAAAAACGTTTAGTTACTTCTAGATTATTTTTGCAGTG